TCCTCTGCCTTTTGAATAAGGATGAGGAAATGGCGTCAGAGGAGTCTCGGGAGAGGTGGACTTCCGTGTGTCTGTTGCCCATTACCTCCCCCTCCTGTGTGAGTGCTCGGAGGCTGGACATGAGGAGGCGCGGGTGGAGAGGAGCTCCTCAGAGCTGTGGTACACTGAAGGTGAGCACTTGGGTTCTGGAGGCAGACCTGGGCTTCGGATCTAGGCTGTGTGCTGCTTAGGTGTGTGACCACAGGCTCCTTCCTTAAGCTGGGTGTCACTCAGATGAGGCACTTAAAGTGCCAGCAAGTGCCCATCCTATAGTTTGATCTTAATCACCTTTGTCTAGAATCAGGTAACATCCCCAGAGCTGTTCCTCATAATGGTGATGGAGAGGAAACGGCCGTCAAGGATCTAACCTGAAAAGCATCTTGAGGGGTCTGGGGGGCAAGGGACAGATTGGTGCTCTCCGTCACCATCCACCATTCTGGGATCCCAGCAGAAAAAAACCTGCTATGGGACCAGGGTCCCCAGGAACACCCCTGATACCAAATCAGGCATGTCTTCAATTATACCTCTGGACTGAAGCTTCCAAATGGGTGGGGGTGGGGGAAAACGGATGGTAGGAGCTGGGCACTGGGTTGGGGGCTGTGCGATTTGAGCTGCTCTCTATACAGCAGGAGGGTTTGGATACACTGAGGTGTGGCACAGATGCTAAGGTGCACCCCGCAATCCCCAACTGGTGTTCACACCCTGGTGTGTAATTCCCTCCTTTCAGCGTAGGCTCGACCTGTGACCTCTAACCAGCAGAATAAAGCAAAGATGACAAAATTTCTCTTCCATGATTACGTTGTATAAGATCACAACCTCTGTCTTGCTCAGAGGTTCTGTCTTGCTGGCTTTGACGAAGCGAGCTGCCATGTTGTGTGAGCTGCTCTAGCCGAGAGTCGAGGTGGCGAGAGCAGCCGGCGGCTGATGAGGAGCTGAAGCTCTTAGCCCAGCAGCCCAGGAGCCGAATGCTGCCCAAACCATGTGAGCTTGGAAGCTGATCCTTGCCAGGTGATCCTTCAGATGGGCCCCAGCCCTGGCCGACACCTGGCTGCAGCCTTGCAGAGGGCTCCTGAGCACAGAAAGTGAGAGGGGAAATGTGTTGTTTTAAGCTGCTGAGTTCATCGTAATATTGTTCTGCAGGAAGAGAGAAGTCATACAAGAAGTGAACAAAGCGTATCTGAAGCGGCATTGGTGTGAAAAGATCCGGGCAGATTGATGGCTGTGTGGCCTTGGGAGGTCACTTGCTGTGCTCCTGCGGGCTTGCCTCTCCCCCTCATAGGGAGGGTAGCTATTGCTTATGTAACCCTCACTCTGCTAGGTGCTGTTCTGTGCGCTTAACGTGAAGCTCCTTCATCATCCTAGCAGCCCCACAAGGCAGGGGCTCCTCCCTGTTTACAAATGATGAGATGGAAGTACGTGAGATTGTGTACTTGCCCCAAGTCACTCAGTTGCTAGGTGGCCGGCTGGGATTGGAACCGAGCAGCCTGGCTCCAGCATCCGTGTTGATCTACTTGAGCTGCCCGCAGGGCCGGCACATAAGACCTGCCTAATACGCGCCAGTTCACATTCCCGCCACATGAGTTAAAAAGGCCCTACTATGGCAGGTACTCAATGACAGGCAAGGGGTGGGGCTTTATCCCATAGGTGATTGGAAGCCACTGAAATGCATCATGGGCACACAGTAGGCGCTCAATAGCTGTTGATTCTTTGGAGGAAGTATCAGGAAGATACTATGTAGGCAGAGTGGACTGGAGTAGAGAGAAGAACAATTTTTCCTCACTGCAGCTTGAATGCAGACAAATATTTAATGTTTTCTTTCTGATTACTGATGTCATGCAGATATGAAAACAAAAAATACTAATCATCTGTAATATTGTCATAGCAAACGATTGGAAATAGCCTACATGTCTACATTAGTTATCTATGCTGTGTAACAATCACCCTCAAACTTAGCAGCTTAAACAGCGCAGATTTATTGTCTCATGGTTTGTGTGGGCCGGGAGTCCAGGTGCAGCCCAGCTGAGTCCCCTGTCTCTGCACCTCTCTCAGGCTGAGGGGTCGTCTGAAGGCTCGACGGGAAGGATCCCTTTCCAAGCTCACTCACATGGTGCCGGCTGCTGACAGAGGTCACTCACATATGCTTGCCACGCGGGCCTCTCCATCATTCACAACTGGGCAGTTTGCTCCATCAAAGTGAACAAGTGAGAGTGCCAGGAAGATAGCCATCACAGTCTTATCTCAGAAGTGACATCCCATCCCATTGGCTGGATTCTGCGGAGGGGAAGCAGGTCAGAGGTGCCACCCACACTCTCGGGCTGGGGCATTGCACAGGGTGTGAGTCCTGGGAGGCAGGGATGGTCGAGGACCATCTTAAAAGTTACCTACAAATTTGTTTCCTGTGACTGCTGTAACAAATTACCACAAACTGGGTAGCCTAAAACAGCAGAAATTTATTCTCTCCCAGTTTGGAGGCTAGAAGTCAAATCAAGATGGCAGCAGGGCCACACTCCTTCCAAAGGCTGTAGCATTCCTCGGCTCGTAGGAGCCTAACTCCAGTCTGCCTCCGTCTCCACATGGCCTGCTCCCTGTGTATCTGTGTGTGTCCTCTCCTCTTCTTGTAAGGACACCCTCCATTGATTTGGGGCCCACCCTAGATTTAGAATACCCTAAATTTTAGGATTTCATCTCAAAATCCTTAACTAATTACATCTGCAAAGGCCCCGTTTCCGAGTAGGGTCACACACACAGGTACTGGGCATTAGGACTGGAACGTAGCTTTTGGGGAGACACAATTCAGCTCACCACAGTCTGCCCACTCCAGTGGCCATCAGTCAGGGATGGGTTATATAAATTTAGGTATGTTCATCCAGTGGATTGTTAGATCCCTGGGGGAAACAGAGAATGGAAAAACTCTATATATTGATGGCAATGATCACTAAGCTTTAGCAAAGGCAGGCAGCAAGGTGCAGAATAAGGAGTAGAGAAAATATGCTCTCTGCTGCATAAAAAAATGGGAAGGGAAAGTACACTCTTTATGTGCGTAAGTACCTCTGGAAAGGTATAGAGGAAACAGCACCCCACAGGTTGTCCACAGGGCGAGACTGGGTGACTAGGAGACGGAGAGAGACTTACTTTTAATGTATAACTTTCCGTACTATTTAAATTCAAACCATGTAAACATACCATCGTTGTGTATGTGTGTGTTTGTGTGTGTGTGAGAGGAAGATTGTTGCTGAGCTCACATCTGTGCCAGTCTTCCTCTATTTTGTGTGGGATGCCACCACTGTGTGGCTTGATGAGTGGTGCTGTCTGTGCCCGGGATCCGAACCTGTGAATCCCAGACCACGGAAGTGGAGTGCACGAACTTAACCACTACGCCACAGGGCTGGCCCCTATATCATCTTTTCAAAGAAAGAAAATCTACGTTTAAAAGGTCAACTGTCATACCAACATCCAAAGATAAAAAGCAGGGTTAACATTTTAATGTCTTCTCATCTTTTTCCTAATACATCTATATATAAGAAGTACACTTTGGCTGGCCCTGGGGCCGAGTGGTTAAGTTCGTGCACTCCGCTTTGGTGGCCCCGGGCTTCACTGGTTCAGACCCTGGGCGCAGACATGGCACGGCTCATCAGGCCATGCTGAGGCGGCGCCCCACACAGCACACCCAGAAGGACCTACAACTAGAATATACAACTGTGTATTGGGGGGCTTTGGGGAGAAGAAGAAAGAAAAAAAAAGATTGGCAACAGATGTTAGCTCAGGTGTGAATTTTTCTTTTACAAATAGGGGCTTCTTCTGTCCTCCTGCTCTGAGACCTTCACTTAGTGTCTTGTACCCTGTCTCCAGTCACTGAATGCTCTTCGGCAACATTTGGAATGACTTCATGGTTTCCCATCAGGTGAACAACCCATGACTTATTTATACGTGCAAGTCACTTATTGCTGGACAGCTTTGTCTTTCTAATTTTTTTACTCCTAAAGTCAGGCATTGTAGAAAGACCTTGCGAGTTAGCCTTAAGCTATCCCGCGAATCCAGTTAACCAAGCGCCCGTCCTCTGAGCCTGCTGGTTGATGTGGCTTTGCTGGTGGTGGGCAGAGTCCAGCGCAGCCTAGTGCCCGGATTTGGCAGGCACTTGGCCCTAGCAACCCGGGGGTGGTAACTCCAGTCGCTTGTTTCCCTGTTACCCGAGTGCAGATTTAGAACCCTCCACAGTGAGCAGGTGAGCACTGGCACAACTCCCTTCTGGTGGCTGGTCTCAGGGTTGCTGGGCTGGGTGCCACCTGATTATGGGACAGGGTGACTGGTGGGCAGCAGCCCTGGGGATTCACATGACCACAGGCCAGGCTGAACGGAGCAGAGCCGCTGAATCAGCACAGCAGGGGACCGAGCCCCTTCACAGAGAGGGGAGCCAGAGGCCCCCCCCGAGGAGCTCCCTGCACAGGCTCCTGTGGGCTCCAGGTAAGAGGGTAGAGGACAGAGGAGCCATATTTGCTGTCCCTCCCAAAGTCTCATGTGAGGCAGCACGGTAGAAAGAGCTGGGATTAGAAGCCATAGAACTTCCTGCTGTGTGTCCTTGGGCAAGTGACAGACCCTCTCTGAGTCTTGGTTTCCTCATCTGTAAAATGGAACTAATCCTAGAACCAACTTTGCAGCCTACCTCCTGCTTCACAGGAGTGTTCAGAGGGGCTGAGGACAGAATGAGAAAATACAAGAGGCAGCAGCCAGCACCGTGTGGCACGCAGCCCCTGTAGCCTGCCCACGAGGTGCGGGTACTGGTAACTGAGGGAGACCTGGTGGAGAGGGGCCTGGGCAGGCCCAGGTGACAGGCAGGTCCGCTAGAGGGAGGGGCAATGGCAGGGCCAAGTGCAGACCCTGGTGCTGCAAGGAACACTCCAATGAGGGCCCCCGCAGGGGCAGGCAGGACCAGAAGTGGACTGTGAGGCCAGGAGCCTTTCAGGGTCTGGGTAGGGACCCAGCAAGTCTGGGGACTCCAGCCAGGGTGACACAGACCTGGGCTATGCTGGGGCACGTGCGGGCTGGCTGTGCGTACTGGCAGAGGTCAGTCAGCCCTCCTTCGGCTGGGCCAGGGACACCTCAGGGGAACTGTGCTATTTTCCTCTCTACCTGGCACCCCACTCGCAGCCACACGCCAGGGACGGACCCTGACCCCAATCTCCCTCGACCAATAGCTCTCAGCCCTGGCCCAGGCCACAGCCTTGCTGCACCCTCTGGGGCCTCCAAGCCCGCAGGGCACATGAGCAGCCTGGAGTGCGGTTTCTCAGATATAAAAACCAGGCTCCTCGGTAACAAAGATGAACGTGGTACCACGCGTGCCCTCCCACCATGGGGCACGCAGAACCCGCAGCTGCAGGCCTGACCCCGCAGCTGCAGGACTGCCGCTTTGCTTTCTGGGCATTTACTGTTTTCCAAGTATCAAATCACAAAATTAAACATGCATTTTCAAACAGAGCACACCGCTCCCTCAGCCTGGAGCTTCAGACCCGCCTCCCTTTGAAAGTGGATGATTTGATCCAATGCCTTCAAGAACAGCGGCAGGCGCGGGCCAGTGACCGGACGGAAGCTAACCTAGTGTTAGAACAGAAACACGCACCCCTGTTTAGTTTCAGTCGCGTGGTGTCCTCCACGCTCTCACCCCATCCTATTCGGGGAAGGCGCGCGAGCTCGTGAGAAGAAATGGGCAGCAGATGGGGTTCCACCATTTTACAGACGAGTAAACTGAGGCCAGAGCGCCGCCTCCAAGGTGGCAGGACAACAGG